TTTTTTTTTTATATATATATATATATATATATATATATATATATATATATATATATATATATATATATATATATATATATATATATATATATATATATATATATATATATATATTTGTCTTCACACAAGAAGAAAGGATGCACTTTGTCAACATGCATCCAAGTTTGTGAGATGCATCATGCTAATTATTTAGCATGGAAATGTAAGGTCAAATATTGGCAATTAAAAAAAAACCATGCATATCACAATGATAGAAAAAAGAAAACCTTTTCGTAATACAGCATATCACATAGAGAATAAATAAAAATGATACTTGAATTGTATTATTATTGCTTTTTTATTGGCTCACTGATTTCTAATTTATGTGTCTCTATTTAATATTTAATTTATTAAAAGATGTTACTCGAGTTACTTCACAATTATTTTATGACGATCGTATATCTCTAAATTCTTCTAAATTTTATTTTTTATTTATTATATAAAATATTTATATAATAAATTATCGATCAATCAATTTCGTTTGATCTAAATTATTGATTAAGATATTTAAATTAAAATTAATAATTATATATTTTTATAATTTAATTTTAATCTTATTTATTTATTTATAAGATTAATCGAAAGGTTACATAATAAAATTTTGATCTGACGTATGTTAATCCCGACAAATTAAAATCGATTTCATCGTTGGATTGGTAACGATAGAGTTGATGTACGTACATCAGGTGCTTCGTACTCAACCGGTCATCATCCCATTTACTGATCCCACATTTCCTGCAACAAAATGGACTGACCCGACTTCATGATCAACAACACATTGAATAATCTCTCTCTCTCTCTCTCTCTGGTAATTACTTGTCTAGAAATGGATTCTGCGTCGTTGCTACTACAATGGGCGGACGGTGCGCACGCGAGATGGCAGCGAGACATGACGAGAGAATTGATGGTAGGAATTCAATGCTTCCCACGTGAACCCTTTGAAGCTTATCCTTCAAGTAACGAACATTTAATGCGCTTCCCACACTGCATGCTTGCCCACAATATGTACACCTGACGATGGATTGGATGCCCAGCTCGTACTTCTTCTTCTTCTTCTTCTTCTTAATATATTTATTTTCCTTGCTCTCTCGGTTGTGTTGTGGCTTGAAGAGCAGTTTCAGATCATCCCCTTGTGTACAGGTTCCAGAATGACATATTTAGTTATTCATCGTGCTTTATATTCTACGTATTATATATATGATTGATACCTGTGTCACAGGATCGATATCTTGATGATTTATAAATAATATGATCTTGTTTCTGGAACATCATAATTAGCGTTCATCAAGAGTATAATGATTCAGAAGTCACATCATAAATAATATGTTTGGTAATGTATTTAAAATATGTACTATATGATTTATAAATAATATGATCATGTTTCTTGAACGTTTATTAATTGCATCGTAATTAACGATCTATCTCACATATGAGGATAATGATTCAAAAGTCACATCATAAATAATATGTTTGGTAACGTATTTAAAATATGTACTAAGAATTTAACACATATTTTCATATGTAAACTAGCGTTTCGTATTTTTTTTTAAATCACATGTGATTTTGATGTTGGATTGAAAATGCTCAAATGCAAATACTATCTGCATTAGCATTTCAATATTTATGAAATGATATAATTTTTTATGTTTCGAAATCATGTGAGTTTATATAAAATTACAATTCTGTCAAAGAGATTTAATGAGAAATTAATATGATTTATATTTTTTTAAAGATACAATTTTATTTTATTTTATTTTAAATTTTAATTAAATATTTATTATATATTTGGATCATATAATTTTTTTTATAAGATTGCACACATTCATTTATTTTTTATTTACTTTTAAATAAATATTGAAAAATATTAAATGATAAGTTTGTCACAAAATATTCAATTAACTTTTGAATATTTATCACAAAATATATTTTTTTATCTATTATTTACTGAACATTCCATTCTTGCATATTCACTCAAATCTCTTTATTCAACTAAATCTCTTTATTCAACTATATATTAAAAATATAAATATATTTTAAAATGGCCAAATAGTATCCTGAGGTGTATTCCTCCACACGTAATATTTACATCATCTCTGGGTAATCATCTCTAATACTCTTAAACATTCTATTAATATCTTATTTCTTGATTTGACTTAGGTATTAAAGAGACTTTGTTGAATACCCCTCGAATACAATTTTATCGGGTTTGTCACCTTAAAGATTCTATATTTTTCAATATCATTGAGAGATAAACACGAAATTGAATCTCGATTAGTTATATATATACATACATATATATATATATATGTATATAATATATATATATATATATATGTATATATATGTATATATATATACTGCAATGCTGACTTACATTTTATATGTTTAATGTATTTTACATTAAAGATGTAATATGTAAAAGGAATACTCTTATAGTAGAATTAAATGAACTTTGATTAAATTATAATTGCTAATAAGTTTAAATTGATGGAAGAGACGGGTCAAATGTAAATAAAACATTATATATTTATTTATATTATTGATATGATTGATTTTATATTTACCTTTTAAGTTTTTCATTGATAATCCGAACTTTGATGGTAACCTTAGTAGAGTGAACGATGGAT